CAACCCACAACACACAACACACAACACACAACACACAACAAACATCACGCAACACACAACGCGCATTACACACAACCCACAACCCACAACACGCAACACACGACACACGACACACGACACACACCACACAACGCACACAGAACGCACACCACACAGCGCACACAGAACGGACACCACCCAACGCACACAGAATGCACACACCACGCAACCCACACCACATGACACACGACCCACAACACACAGCGCACACCACACCGCACGCACTTGACAGAGCTCTGCGTCGACTCTTTCGAGGCAAGAGAGCCTCGCTTGGGCCCCGGCAGATCCCTCGCCTCCGGCGGGGACGCGGCAGCGCCACTGCGCTCATGCACCCGCTCCTCTCTGAGGATTGGATGATGATCCGCCGTGCCTACCGGATCCTCACCGACCCTGAGGAGCGGATCGCCTACGACTCCGCCACGGGCTCAGATCCTTGTGGCTGAATATGGCTGAATCCAGCATCGATCCAGGCCATGTCTAGGAAGAACCTTGAAGGCACATCGCGAGTAGAGAAGCGACTTGCCGCGTCTCGCTCGCTGTTGCTCGCTGTTGCTCGCTGGCCCTTTGCTTGGTGCTTGGGATGCAGAGCGCGAGTTTCATCGAGACAAACAGAGAGAGAGAGAGAGAGAGAGAGCTGTTCCATTTTGGCTCAAACCGTGAGCGGTTCGAGCCCCCAGCCTTGCTTTCATCGTTGCAGAGAGAGAGTGTGCCGTTGCAAACAAAGTCGGGGGAGAAACCCGGCGCGTGAGAGAAAGCCTCCGAGCCTCGAGGGGAGAGTTGGCGCTATATCCTTGCACTACGTCGAGAGCGTGGGGCTTACTACGCGTGACCACCAACCTCTTTCACCGGGGGGACATCGTCGAGTTCGGTGCTGTTCGGTGGCCACACGCTGAAATAGGGGGACATCCACAAACGTCGGCGTCTTCGGGGTCGGCGAACCTACGTCGGTGGTTAGAGTACCACGCCGAGCTGTTTTGCTCCTTCCTCGCTGGACGGGGGACGCCTTCACCTAACTGACTGTGAAAATGGCAGGGACATCAAGAATGCCATCCTCGACGATGCAGGACGGGGAGATGCCGGGAGCCCGCAAGCGCCCGGCCCAAGGGGGAGATGAGGAGCGACCACTCACGCTCTCCACCCTATTGGACGCGCTGAAGGAAAATCGGGAAGAGATTGTTTCGCAAGTCCGCGAAGACATGCAGACGCTGGAGACCCGGGTCACCAACGTGGAGGGGACCGTCGAGATGCAAGTACAACAAACGACGAAACTCTTGGAAGCCATGACGGACCGCCACTGTGCCATGGAACAAAGCGTCAAGAAGGTGGGGGAGACACAGGAGGAAGTCATGAAGCGCCTTGAACAGTTGGAAGGCAACTGCGCCAATGCCGACTTCTCCTTGTCCAGTACTCGAACCTCCGAAGACGGGGGAAATCAAGGACAACGACCAGCCCTCATCATTGGGGGATGACCAGCACCACGAGGAAACCTTGCGACTCGTGAAGAAGCACCTCCGCGACCTCGAGATTGACTTGGACCTGTCGCAGGCTTTCGTCCCGGGCCTCAGACGGGGATTTGCCATCGTCCCTCTCATCAAGCAGCCCAACGAGGGGGAACCCGAGCTTCGAGTCCGCGTCCAAGGCATCTTGCGAGCTGTGCGCGAGGCAAGAGTTATCACAGGGCAACGCCGCGAAGGGGGAAGCCGATACCTCTTTGCGACAATGAGCCAATCCCCTGAGCGGAGAAAGCGCGCACAACTGGCGGGGAAGATCAAAAGGCTCATCACCGTTATGCTCCGAAGGTGTCCAAAGGACACTGTTTGCACAAACGAATGCGATGGTGTGGATTGAACTATAACTTCTCGTTTGTTTCGCAATATCTTGAGCATGAAAGCCTATATGAAAGCCATGAAAGTGTTGGGCTCCGAGAAAGTACGCCAAAAAAACTATGTGAACGAAGTCATGAAATTACTCGCGTGACTTCTTTACGGATGTTTATACCGTTTATACCATATATTTGTTTTATAAGCTGCCGGGGTGTAATCTTCACGTTTTCATAATTCCATGCATGGGCGGCTTGCCGTTGTGCGTGGTCTTGTTGTGCAACATGTTGACAAACACGAATACTCCGTGACAGCGTGTTTTTACAGAGCAACCCAGGCAAAAACAATCGAAACAAAAGCGAGCCGAAGTAGAAGCAAGCCGAAACTTTGCTTGAAGCTTTCTTGTCGCAAAACTCGATGTCGTCGTCGTCGTTTCGTCGTCGTCGTGATCGTCGTGGTCGCCGTCGCCGTCGTCGTCCTTGTCATACCTGAGCGGGAGGCGGTTGTCAGGCTTCGAGGCTTCACTGTCTTCCGAGTTGGCCTTGCGTAGAAGGGGTTTTGGGGTTCGTAGCTTAAAACTTTTGTGTTACACGCATGGGAACGAAGACTTGATGGGCTTCCGGGTACACATCGTGAGTTTTCCGCAGTTCGAGTTGCAGGTGGGCTATGTTCATAGAAAGATAGGTGCTTGAGGCCTTGATCTCCAGTAGCTCTTTGAACCTTTGAAGCCTAAGTCGACCTACTCGTGCCCAAGTAAACATGCCGTGGACTATTGGATATAACCCTGTATACGTGTATCATTAGTGATTTATGCCCGAGCAGTATAACCCCTGGACAGGCGCAGCGAGCCCGCAGCACTTCAAGATTTAGGGTTTTGAGGTTTAGGATTTTTAGGGCTTGGGCTTCGGATGTTGCGGATTATTGTAAGGGTATACGAGCGGAAAAAGAAAGGGGGTCCTGCAGTGGAGCCGTGTTACTCGAAGCATGGGTTGGCAACTGCCCGCAGTAACAATAAAATAAGTTGTATATGGATCTACTATATAGGCCCTTACATTATAGATTGTTACCGTGGGCAGTGTCCAACTTACAGGGTTTAAGATTGGGTATTCGGAGCTTTCGGGGATTGAACCACAAGCCTAATCCTACTTTCCACAAATTCGAACTAAACCCCCACCCATAAAACCCGAATGGCCGGAAACCGTCCGAACTCCCAAGCTGTCAAGGCCCTGAAAGGGCAGCTGTGTGAGCGCGATCATGGTCTGCATGCTCCAGCATGGCAAGCCTGTGCCGGGAAGCAATGTATGATAGGTCCATACATGTGCGGGATTCAAACACTTCACAGCAGTACACAAGTAAGCACACGTCTTTCATTGCACACATACGTGTACGATTGCAGTGTTCCGAATAATTAAACATGCACATGCAACCTACATGCTGCCGCTCTGTCACGTGGACAAGGCCGGGTGACCCGCAGCTCTGCATGCATATTTGCTGTCACAGGTGTGTGCATGATTGCATCGTTCGGACACCTCGGGACTCGCAGGCATTTTGATTTTCTCAGTCTAGTTTCTGTTTTTGCGATCTGTGTGTCCGGGTAGCTCAGCATGCCGTGCAGTGCGGGTGACCGTGACCTGTCCTTCACACACCTCTATGCTAACCTGCTGGGGGACAGCAAGTTCGAAATCGAGGAGGTCAAAAGGACGTTTCGCTCTGTGCGTGCCATGTTTGCATTCCTACGTGAGCACGTGTGTGGGGTGGACTGCCGTTAAGTCGTAGCTCATGCAAGCTGAGGGCCTGGAAAGGTTACCTGGGGTTTCGAGGAGGTCGCAGCTGGCTCGCAATCTTATCTTACTGTCCACATGATGCAGAGCTTCTTAGCTTGAGGTCCGAGGCATGTTGGGTATCTACCAAGGAACGGGTGGCGAAGGGTATGTTCGACGAGATGCCCGAGCGAGCTGTAGATATGATCCAGGGCAAGACGCTGAAACCCGGCACCAAGCTCGTCAAGCTTTCGTCGGACATCTGCAAGCCGACTGCAAAGGACAGGTCCTAAAGTACTTAAGTTAGATTTGTGGGACTTCGTGCAATCATACTCTTGTGTGAAGGAAATCGTGGCCAACTACGTTTGGCTCCGTCCTATCTGTATGGAGTACCCCAAGAAGGTGCCCTGTCTATGAAAGGTCCTTCTGAGATTTGCATGTCCGAACCCAGAAAGCTAAGGTACCTTCGGCGTTTCTACTGACAGACGTACTCTTGCAGTTGGACCGCCTCCTGGCACACAAACTCGTGGTCCCCGGCCACGGGGACACCAAGGTAGTGGCAGCGGCGCGGGACGCCAAGCGCCTGAAGAAGCTTATGGGTGCGCTCAGGGCTTTGTACCGTAACAGCACCTTGCCCTTCTTGGAAGCATGAATGCTGTGCTCTGCCGTTATCGTACGCTGTGGTTTCTTCTCATCTTAGGCAAGACGTCTACGGATGACAAAATGCAAGAGTTGAAGAGCTTTTTGGAACCTGCAAGCAAGGAGGCCTGCTATGATATTCTCAGTGACAGATCAAAACCCTTAAAAGATTTAATTCCTAAAATCAAAAACCCTCAGCCCTTTATACAGCCAAAATACCAAACATTCTCAAGCCCTAAAGCTCCAAACCCTAAATCTTATCGAAACCCCGCAAACGGTAGCCTTATACAAGCCACATGAAGTTCTCCCCTTAAGTACAGGATGCCGTTGGCATGTTCAAGTGCCCTATATAGATGCCTAACCAAACGTATGTATCTAATCACCATAGAGTTGTATTACCACGGCAACAGTTACAATTTTCACTGCAAGGGGTTTCTAAATTTAATCTTGCAGGACGAGGGCGAAGACGATGCTAGCGACGATAATGGCGACGATGGCGAAGGGGAGGAAGAGGAGGAGGAGACAAGTGATGCCTCCGATGCAGAAGAGGCTTCGGGTGCCCACCCACGAAGTCTGAATGCGAGCAGCAGTGATGCCACCGAGCCGTACAACGAGATTTCGAGATCTCTGAAGGCTGAGCTCAGCGAGGGCAGCGAGGCACCCGTCGCCGAGGCGGAGATTTCGAGATCCTTGCGGCCTACAACGAGCGACGGCAGCCAGCTGTCATCCATCGCCCAGGACGAGACGAGATCCTTGAAGCCTACGACGAGCAACAGCAGCGAGGGCAACGACGAGGATTCGAGATCCTTGAATAAGGATACGGCGACCAACAACAGCGAGGGCAGCGACGGCAGCGAGACACCCATCGCCGCGGCCGAGGATTCGAGATCCTTGAAGCCTACGTCGACCAACAGCAGCGAGGGCAGCGAGCCACCCGTCGCCACGGCCGAGGTTCCGAGATCCTTGAAGGCTACGTCGAGCAACGGCAGCGAGGGCAGCGAGCCACCCGTCGCCGCGGCCGAGGTTCCGAGATCCTTGAAGGCTACTTCGACCAACAGCAGCGAGAGCAGCGAGCCACTCCAGGCTGAGGTTCCGAGATCCTTGAAGGCTACGGTCACCAACAGCAGCGAGAGCAGCGAGCCACCCATCGCCCAGAACACTGTTTCGAGATCCCTTGATGCTGAGCTGGACGGGGTG